TGTTCTCAATGAGAACAATGCTTTTTTCTTTTCCAATGGTCAGCATGATGTGTGTTGCATTTTACTAACAGATACTATTTATCAGTACAAGGACATTCGGATTCTATTGCTAACTTATGAAGAATTTTGATAAATTTAATTTTAAAAACTAATATGAATATAAAAAATTTTATTAAGTGCCACTTTCACATTTACTGTGGTAATCATTCCTTATCCTTTATTAATGAAGAGACTTAAACTAATGGAATCTCTCATGTGAAATAATCTTTCATTCTTAAAATGATCTCATTTTATGAGATACTATTTTTTTTCTCTGCTGTATACAAGTCCTGCCTGTTCTCATATGTGGTATTTGTCTAGGTTGCCTTTTGTGCTAGCCTTGCCTGGTTTCATAGTAGAGATGTGATAGGTCTACAGGCTATTTCACACATTTTCATTATTTTCTACTCTTCATATGTAATCAAAGAAATGTTTCTTAAATGATTTACAAAACTAACCTACTGAAATCATCTAGAAGTTGCGTTATTTGGAAGAAAACTATTGACTATTTTTCAGTGGCATTAATGCTTATTAGTTTGTCCAAACTGTTAACCTAACCTTCAGAAACTTTCAAAATTCATGCACTTTAACTTAGTTTCCCACTGCATTTTTCAAATTATTGATAGAAAAACTCCTCTCATCTGTGAGAAGTCTCTGATATGTGTTTATGTCAATTTTTAATCTTATTTTTACAATATTTTCCCTTTACCTTGTCAGTATTGCCAGCTGTATACTAATTTATTCATCTTTTCAATCAGTTTTTACATTCATTTATTAAATATGCAGATTTTGTTTAATTATTTCTACTTTTGTGTGGGATTTCTTTTCCTTAATTTTGTTCTTTTCCTTGCTTCACTGAATGAATGCTAAATTGTTCCCAGTATTATTTTCTAGTAAATGGTAAAGGTGCTTTAGAATAGAATCCTGACCACCTATTGTAATAAAAAAGTGGCCTTTTCTGAACATTCATTTTTAACATAAATTTTTATATATTAAAATCATATGACTTATATACCATAAAAAAAGCAGTCATATAAATAAGAATGGAGAAATTTAAAATAGATAGCACACGAACCTACCACCCAGAGTACAGTTAGCCCCTTGTCATCCAAGTTGCTGTGAATATAAAAAGTAGCACCCGTGGAATCAGGCCACACATTTTGTTCTGTGTATTCAAAAACATGTATCTGAGATATTGCATATTCTTCTGGAATATCAATGTGATCAACTACACTGTACACCATACATGTTTTTCCTTATCAGTGGGTATTAGGGTTGTCCCTTACCTTCACTGCAACACTATATGCTCTATGAGACATGAAAACACAGTCATAGGATTTTAAGGACTTTTCTCAGTAAGAAGTGAAAACAAATATTGATGAAATAACTATATCATTAAAGTAATAGTGGGCCAGCCAAATAGCTCAGCAGATTAAAGCGCCTACAAGCAGGCACAGGGGCTGAGGGTTCAATCCTCAGGCCTGCCATGCAGGCCCCACCCCAGGGGCACGCTGAGATGGTGATTGAGACTAGGTGTGGTGGTGCGAACCTGTAATCCCAGCTCTTGGGAGGCTGTAAATAGGCAAATCACTGAGTCTGATCTAGTAGTGAGACCTTGAACACCCTGTAGACCCTTCCCTAAAATACAAAATAAATAGATAGATAGATAGATAGATAGATAGATAGATAGATAGATGTTGCATCCAAAATTGCATTTCTTCTAGCACAGACAATTACTAGAAGGGAAAAACATGACTGTGAGAGAAACAGCTGATGGCAAAGACAAGCCAACAAAAGCAGGACATAAAGAACAAGAAAGGGATATGTGCGGAGCGCTTTCTGGCTCTAATGTCCATCAGTGCATTCGGTCATCTCATAGCCAGTATCATATTCATCTTCCTATTTTTTTTAAAAAAGAGGAAACTATGTTTTTTAAACTATAAAATCATTCTCGTACAACTTAAACTGAAATGGAAGTTTATCCTTCTCTAAAAATGTAGAATCTATTACAGAGGAGGATTTTGTCAACAATTACAAGTTAAAAGTAATACATTCACCATGAAAACTTGGGTTTTCTTTCTTTATTTTCAAGGTTAATCTCTGCCCAAGTTGATATGAGTCAAATTAATGCACACTTTGCTACTAAGAATGTAGAGGAGATTCTATTTTCTGTCTTTTTTTAAAATAAAATTCTGTGTACTGAGACTTTGTCATTTTAGCTACATTTTAGAATTTTGTGTGTGCATATTCTATGTTATTTTTGTTATGCTTCATGATATGTATGCAAATGAAGATTTCTTGCATTAACTCACTTCCAAAATAAAGCTAAGACCAAATGTAAACATTTTCCAAGTGAAATATTAGAGGTAGTTTATATTTCTTGTATCAAGCAATGCAAAGTAATACTTATTTAGCATCATCAGGCAAATGCAGGAACTTTGGTCCCAAACCCTTCACAACCCATTTCAGTATAATCTGGAAATCCATATAAAACGGCCAAGCAGACAAGTTGAAATACATTCCAAAACCACTGTGCAACTTGCTGATCACATAAAGGTTATGTCTCTCCCACATCATGCAACGTCAAGGCACAAGAAAACATAAAGGGACTTGGGGGCTAGCTTAGCGGTCTAACTGCCTGCCTGGCAAGCTTAAGGACCCAGGTTCAATCCCCGGTGCCTCATGCTGTGCTGGCCCCAGAATCCAGGGCACACAGTGACTGCGAGAAGCCAGGTGTGTTGTCACACACCTGTAATCCCAGCTCTGGGGAAGCTGAGACAGGAGAATCACTCCAAATCTGAGCTGCATAGTGAGATCTTGTACCAAACCAATCCATCAATGATTTTTTAAAGAAGCAAATGTTAGGAAAGGGTTAACTTGGGTTTACAGAGGTCCTGAGAGCAAGTGAGGTCATTAAAAACTTTGAACAAAGGGCCAGGCAGATAGCTCAGAGGACTAAAGTGCCTGCTAAGGCAGAGGGCAGAGACCAGAGTTCAATCCCTGGTGTGCTGTGCCGTCCACACCACTGGAGCGAGCAGAGATGGTGATTGAGACTGGGCATGGAGGTGCGCACCTGCAGTCTCAGGGCTTGGGAGGCTGAAAACAGGAGACTTGCTATGAGTCCGATCTACATAGTGAGACCCTGTAGACCCTGTAGACCTTGTCCTAAAATACAAAAA